CAAATCTCTGTTCCTTTGCAATTGCATCATCTGGAAAAAGGTGCGTATTGGAGAGTTGCAGAAATGAAGAAGGGAAGCTGGAGTATACATGCAAAATATCGGAAGTGGTTGTTGAAAGAATTGCTGGATATATAGAGTCTGATCAATGTGTTAATGCATGCGGGGTTGATCGGAGCTTCGTCGGAATTTCCTCCGACGCCTTCCTTGTTCCGCAGTTTACTGCTAGACTTTGCTCGCCGGCTTGTTACCAGAACTGCCCTAACATTGTTGACCTCTACTTCAACCTGGCTGCTGGCGAAGGTGAGAACTCATTAGATTTTGTTAATTATCTTATTTAAAAGTTTATGTTATTAAAGATAACATGTACGCCCCTCGAACAAAGAATAGATTCATTTTTTAATTAAAGATATGAGATATGCACAATTAATTTTATAAATATGTCTAGAGTTAAATCATGTCGTTAAGCCTCTGTTTGGTTTGACTAAAAATTAAATTTTTAACATATTTTGATAATAGTTATTTAATGAAATGAAAATGAGTTTTTGAAAAGTTACTGCCAAACCGGGGTAAAAGTTTTTACTATTTACAATTTGATAATTATAAATAGACTTGTTGAAATTAAAAGTTTGATTGGCTAAGCTTAAAAGTTAAAAGTCACTTATATTGAGAGTATATCATCGTGTATGTTAAGGGATAGAATCTCATATCGAATAAAGATGTAAACATAAACCAACTTATAAAGGATTGTGGTACTCCTCTTAATAAGGTTGACCTTTTAAGATGGAAATCATGGAACCACAATTCTTAACATAGTATCAGAGCCCATTAAACTCTAACGAGCAATTCGATCCGGTAAAGAGTTCACAAGTAAGTACACGGATTTCAAGATTGGTCTGCTCAAATGAGCCACCATCTTGCATGACATATTAAAAGATAGAATCTCACATCGAATAAAGATGTAAACATAAACAAACGTATAAAGAATTATGTTACTTCTCTTAATAAGGTTGACATTTTAAGATGGAACCCCAAATCTTAACAGTGTACTTGACCCAAGATATAATGAGAATCGTCCCGTTCCAACATTCTCGTCTTCATAAGATGGATTAGCTCTTTCCTCTTTTACTTTCATTAATTAAAATTTTTATTTTCTAGATCTCATTTAACGTGGACTTAGTCTATTTTCATCCTATGTGACAAGTTTGAAATTTGAAGTTTGGTTGGTTAAGGTTAGAAGTTATAAGTCACATCATACTTAAAATCTTTGGAATAAAATTTTCAGTTCACACAAAGACTAATAAAAAGGAGTATTTTTTATGCTTTATCTGATCCTCAATTTCTTGAAGTTTAATTAAAGTATTTTCTTTATATAAAAAATGGCCACATGACTAAATTTTCCATTTTAAATGTTGATTTTACAATAACTAATAATGTTATATAACAATTTTCAGGAATATATTTGCCTGCTCTTTGTGAGAAACAGAGGACCAACCCCCACCGGGCCATGTTGGCGCTTTTGAGCAGTGGCACAGCCCCCGGTCCGGTCGCCATCGACTCTTCCTATTTCGTCGCTGATGCTCCCGCTCCTGCATCTATCTAATTAATCTACCCAAATTGTTGTTGAATTATACTATTCATAAGAAAATAGGAAATCAAATATATACAGTGTTTTGGATTGGCTTATGATTAAAGTATTTTTGTGATATTAAACTTAATTTTTGAAATTGAGTTGAATAATGTTTTTGTACTTATGATTTTATGAAAAAGCTTCTTTATTAGCAAATCTTACTATAATATATGATTTTTTTTTTTTTTTATAACCGTGGATGTCCGGGTCAGTTTACATGCACCTCGACTAATTCCACGAGGCTTTGAAATTTACGATCGAATACTCACCTCAATGGCTCTGAAAGGACTCAAAATATATGGTTGTTATGTTGCCTTCAATCAATTTTCAATGTGTCGATGCTTTTATTTTTTAGGTAATCTAAGGTATAATTGGACATTCATTGCATTAATAAATTGTCTATTCTTTCAGTCACTATTTACTGGAACATGGAAAGGTCCCAGCGATCCACTTTCTACATTCTCGAAGTGCCCCAATGGAATTCCCTTCAGTTGAATGATTTTTATGGATATGTGGACTCACAAGTAGATCTTGGACCACAATCTCTTGTACAACGTTCCTGCTGCTATTGTTACGTTGAAATCCGCAAGTGTACGAGATCGTTGTACAAATAATAAAAATAGTGAATTTCGAGTTTATCGTTCCCACGAGAAATAATGTTTAAAATATACTTCAATAGTTAGTATTAAATTTGAGTGAGTAGTGACAGTAAAATAGTGATTGTGCGGTTGTTTATACTACTGATCTATACAAATAAAGCAAGTAAATTATGATTTTAATGAATGTAAATATTTGTATTAGATTCATGATTCTCCATATTTCTGTCTATTTGAATTATCAATTAATAATCTAGTTAATTTCATGCATT